TCCAATACCACATAACCAGATAAATAATACTTGTTTCCCAGTCTTGCTGTTTCTCATTTTTATGAGTATTTTTGTATATATACATGTTAGTGGCAGGGGTTATAATTATTTACTCAGATTTATAACTCCTCTACACAGTAAAGCCACTAAAGCACAAGGTGTTACTGGGTGTCAAAGAATTATAAAACAGAAGCATTATTGAGGGAGAACAATAGAAAAGTTATCCGGAAGAGAGTAGATAATGACTGATATTGCATTTAAATTTTTGAATATGAAACTTATCAGGAAAGCAAGAAGCTAGAAGAGCTCCACAAGTGAGAAAAGAAACTGTTAGCATAGAACTTATGGTAATATCTAGCCAATTCAAGTTAACTGATGGGACCTTGTTGCTAATCTGGTACTGTGTTTAAATTCATAAAGTCTAGGTGCCATACCAAAATTACAATGAAAGTTTTTATAGAAAAAGCACAGGGAAGCAACTTTACAGCAGTGGGAATGTGACTAAAGCCAGGACCAATAATATTGCCAATTCTTTGGATTTTATCAAGAATCTCTAAATATAAAGCATGTGCACCAGTCAATATGTGACAGCAATATTTGAGGTAGTATGGATGAATGGTAGACTTACAGATATGTAAGATAGATTTAGAAGAGAGAAATTGTCTAGAACAACACAGTGAACCAACTTTCTTAGCGACAAACCTAGCAAATATTCTTTCCACTTCATGCCACATAACCTGAAGGTTAGCATCAGCCATGCTGATGGAAGACAAAAAGGAGTCTCTCAGATGATTAATAGAGCAGTTTGGTTTTGGAGACATTCAAATTAACAAGCCATCCTTTGCCACAGTTAACAACAGACTTAGATCAGCTGCCAATGTGACCCTATCAATCTGATCTGACATCGAGACAGGAGTAAATGATTGTGTTATCAACATAGATACCAAGTTGAGAGCTGATGCCATCAGGAAGGTCATTGATGAAAATTAAGAGCAATGTAGGACCAAAGATAGAGCCCTGGGGAACATTTACATTAGCACAAAAGGATCTAGAAGAGTGGCCATTCAGGACAACTTTCATTTCATAATTAGATAAGAAAAAATGAATTGGATCAAAAATTCATCCAGAGACACCATAACTTGTGAAGAAGACCGGTATGCCAAACCCTGTCGAAATATCCAAAGCAACAGCCCAAACTTCACCATTTTTATCTAAAGCTTGATACTGTTTCCACAATAATTGTTAATACATGAACAGTTGACCTAGAGAAATCAAAGCCATATTGCTTGTTTGAAAAAAAAAGGCCCTGCTTAACCAATTTAGTATTGATTAGCACCTCTAATAGTTTACCAAAAAGAGGCAAAAGGCTTATAGGCTGATAGTTTGGAAGAGTCAGATGGTTCACCTAAACTTTACTATGAGAGTTAGGGTTAACAAGCTGTTCTTGCAGATCATTACTTCTTAAAGACATCGATTATCATTTGACACTCCGTGCTTGTATCAAATTTAACATAAGTTTGCTAAACTGTAGAGATTGATAACAATTGGGAAGTGCATTTTCTTTAATTTCTTCCTCTCTGGTAAAATTATGGTGATATCTTCAGTTACTATTGAAATGTATCTGTGCACCTAAAAGTTGTTATATATATATACAAGTATGTGATTTGTGTATATGGAATAAATTCCAATAACCAACAATTACTATTCTTAAAAGAGTGCTCAATACAGAGTAGAGCAGATATAATTATTTATTTAAAAATTATAACATATATATGTTATAAAATCACTACAAACACTGGAGGTGTTGAAACAAAATGGCTATTTTTGTAGTGATTTTATAACATATTTATGCTATAATTTTTAAATAAATAATTATATATATATATATATCTAATTAAACCCACCAAGGTTTCACCTATGCAGATCATCAGGGAAGGCTTCCCTGACAATCTGCGTAGGTGAAACTTTGGTAAGTTTGTCTGGCTCTTTAAGTTTAATTAGGTTTACTCGACTTAGCATATTGAGCACTTTATTTAGTTATTTTACTTACTCGTATTGGTTTTTTTTTTTTTCTTTGGACTCTGGACTTGGATGCTAGACGATTATTTTCGGCTGACATACATATTCTTTGTTCTTTCTTTTATACCTTTTTTTCCCTTTGGTATTGGTTTGATTATTTGCAAATCAAGACACCAAGGTTTTCCAGACGAGTATAATTTCTTATATTTATAAGATTATTACTAGTGTATATATATATATATATATATATATATATAAGACAAAAGGAAAACTTATCTTAGTTGACACATTTCGTTCTCTGAGGGACATTATCAACACAAATGCAAGGATTTTATTTTGTTCATCTATAAATACTTGTTAAAAATAAAATCCTTGCATTTACCTTGTTAAAGTTCGTCAGAGGACGAAATGTGTCAAATAAGATAAGTTTTTCTTTTGTTCTTTTACAGATAAATTCTATCTGAAATTTCACACACACACACACACATATATATATATATATATATATATATATATATATATATATATATATAGTGATTGAAAAGTGTTCCCTATTTTATGTATGATGGACTCTCCTGTCTTGTGAAAAATTATAGTTAGACAGGAGAGTCCATCATACATAAAATGAGTTAATTTTCAATCACCTTGTATATCAAAAATACTTTTACAAACTTTGGGGGCAGGTTCCTCACAACAAAACAAGGACAAAAGTCCATATAAATATATGCCTGCAAATCCTTCATTTTTGAGTTAATTAGTTTTACAAAATCTTATGGTAGATGGCACTGTGTTGCCATCTAGACTAGGTTACATTTGTCATTCTTGTACATTTGTGTCTAGTCTGTCTCAACTTTTAACAAGTGTAGTAATGAGTTAACTGAGAAATTTTCCATTTAACAATGACAGGATATTCATATCATGAGCAGGCAGATATGATTTTTACATATAGTTGCACAGGTGGTAATGGACACAAAGCTGCATGGCTGTATCAGATTGCATTTCCAGACCTAAGACAACCAAGTCATCCAACCCTTGCTTGCTGAGACAGGATCCATGGAACCACAAATTATAGACTGAGGAAGACTGAGATCTGCTTGAACACTTGACCACGAAGGACACATTTTACAGGCTGTCAGAGACAATCCCACTATCAGCACACGTCAAGTGGCCCTAGCATGTTGTACATCTCATAGCAATGTATGGAGTGTACTTCAAGATCAGCTCCAGTATCCATATCATTTGCAACATGTGCAGGTCTATCGTCCTCTGATCACTCACCACTGGAGAACTTTTGCTGATGGTTTATTGCACAAACTGCCAGTCCATTGTTTGTCTCTTCAGTCTTGTTTACAGATGAGGTAACATTTGGAGGAGATGGAAGAACAAATTTACACAACCAACATTTGCAGTCGGATCGGAATCCCCATAGTAGATTGCAGGCAAGACTCCAGCATCAGTTTACGATTAATGTGTGTCCTGAAATTGTAGGTGACTGTCTGGTTGATCCATATGTTCTCCCAGCACATCTTAAATGAACTGTCTACAAGGACTTTATTTCAAACACTCTTCCAGATCTGCTAGAAGATGTACCTATGCTAATATGAAGACGCATATGGTTCATGCATGATGGGGATCCAGCAAATTTTAGTCATATTGTTCGCGATGCACTGGCTGACATCTACCATGAAAGATGGATGGGTAGAGGAGGACCGGTTCCATACTCTGCACGTTCCTCCAACCTCAATCCTTTGGATTTTTATCTGTGGGGGGCCACCTAAAACAATTGGTTTAAGCAGCAGACATTAATAATGCAGAGATGCTTCATCAATATGTTATGGGGCAAGCAAAACCATTCTACACCATGTGAGCGTATTTGAAAGGGTCAGCCAGTCAATGAGCTGACAGGTGCATGCATGTGTAGAAGCAAGCAGAGGACATTTTGAACATTTGTTATGAGTTGCTGAGAACAATGGTCTTTTGGACATATGTTTATGGACATTTTACCTGGTTTTCGTGTCAGGAAACTGCCTCCAAAGTTTTGTAAAAGCATTTTTGGATTGTACATTTAACACTTTAAACGTAATAACTCAAAAAAAAAAAAAGGGATTTGCGGACATATATTTATGGACTTTTGTCATTGTTTTGGTGTGAGGCGCCCGCCTCCAAAGTTTGTAAAAGTATTTTTGATAACCCCTGTAAAACTGAAGAGGGCTGGGCTATCTTGCTACTGCAGTAGATGTGATGCCCCTACAATTCTAATGGGCTGCGAGACTCGTGATCGTGAAATACACACAAATGTAGTCTTTTTTTTTTTTTTTTTTTAATCATTTGCAAATGAAATGTATGTTCACAAGGTGTACAACAGTACAATGAATTTAGCGCAAACAATACTATCCTTTAGTTTTCCATATTTTCCGAACTTGTGAATGTGAAATTAATTTCTTTCACTCTGTTTTAGAATCTATCTGGATATTAAAATTGTTTTTATCGGATTCTTTTTTTTTACAGTATCTTAAGACAATTTTTGGTTCGTTACGTTACAGATTTTCCTAGAAAAAAAATCACCGCAGTTGAATGTTAGACATGAGTAAACGATAAAAGTAATTTGAGCAGTCTCAGCGGCGAGGCGACTAGCCTTGGATTCATAATGTTGTGATAGTTAAGTTAAAGCTTATCATAAAGTTTCTTTGTCCATTGTTATATCGGTGTTTTTGTATAAATCGTTGGATTAATTTCTTCATTACAACCTTTAAAAACAATCTTGGGCTATGTTGAACTGTTTATTATTTGGTCCTCGCTTTACGCTTTCTTCAACTTCCCTATTGTGTGTTGGTTGTCGCTACACGTGTTTTGTTCCAGTCCTGAAGACGAGGAAACATTATTCCACTCACAATGATAACAACAGTAGAAATAAGAAGAGCAGTAATGGTGAAAGCAGTTTCTCACACATTTATAAACCTAGAAGAAGATATGTCAGTAAAATGTTTCAAAATTTTGGCAAAGTACAACCGGCAGAGACGTCTTTGTCTTGTAAAAGTCATAAGGTGTGCTCGTTTTTTCTTTTCTTTATTTTATTTTGTAACACATTTTTTTTTTAAATTTAAACTAAAAAAAGGTCTTTAAAAATGTCATCACTGTGTGTAGTGTACTGTAGTGTAGTTTAATTTTTTTTTAAATATAAAAAATCTTTTTAATTTAAAATACTGATTTTCTAATACATTTTTTATAGTCTTTAATGTTTACTTTCTTTTTTTTCTATTGTATTTAACGAAAACACTTCCTTGTTCGGTAAAATATTCTGGTGATTGTGACTTCTCTGAACGTGAACATAGATGTTATTGTTACTTATTGGAAGGAAAGGTCATTTAGGGTCTTACTCTATCTTCTTACTCGTTCGTTTTGAAATGTTCTCGATCTGCAATTTTAATTGTCATCTGTTATGAGACACCATTTCATCGCAATTTCTTTTGTTTTTTGTTTTTTTTTATAATTTTTAATTCAAAATTTATATTTTTTTTTTTTTTTTTACAAAGACGGGAAAACATTTTGTTTATGATTTTATCGTTTAAAATAAATACAACATTCTTCTGCAACATTTGTCTTTTTAAATGATTAAAAAAACATTAAATTTGTAATATGCATAAGTTTTTAATTTCTAAATACACTGAACTTCCTATCACTTTTAGTTTTAAAGTTTATTTTGTGTTTTTGAAACCTGATGTAAGGGCAGGTAATTATGACTTACAGCAAAGTGCTCGAAAAACTTGGTCACAGAGGTGTTCATCGACATCTATATGCATTGTATTGAGTGGAAACCAATTTGGGGGTTGAATATCATTAATCATTTTAGTAATAAAAATGAACAGAGTTCACCTTTTTTTTTCTTTTTTTTTTTGTTTACCGATTCATTGTTCTGTAGAAAACTAAAAATTAAAACATAAAAAAAATGTATTTTGGTAATAATTTTATAATCGATTTTTTTCTGTCAGAATTTTGACACTCACAGGAAATGTTTGAAGGCACGAGGAACAGAGGAAAGTAACGCATAACCTACCTAACATGGATTAGGAGAGATAGCAAAATAAACTTTACTAAGAACTACAAAAAAGGATAGGAAATTGTGGAGAACCTTGCTAGCCCACGTCTAGAAGAGACACCGGCACATAGAAGAATCCTACAATAACACTAACTGAACAGTAAGATTTAGTTTGGGCTAGACATAGAATTTGTTACAGATCAAAGTCCCCATCAAATGGATAGTAAACATCTGAATGTTTTTGTTATTTTATTTTCTTCAGTAATTTATATTTTTATATTGAAAGGTCTATCAAAAGTTTGGTCTTTGCAGTGGTCTAATCATTCCCCCCAAAAATGTTAACTTTGTAAAAACAAAAATTTGATATTACAAATAAATTTTCTCTTCTCAAACTACCTAAAATGAATCAAGATAGTATCTCATTATTTCCAAGCATGCGTTCACATTTTGCCGTATACATATTATTAATTAAAAAAAAAAACTAATCCTTTTCGTTATTTTAGGGTTTTATTAACTAAAGTAAACTCTTTTATCATTTTCTTTCAGAACGTGAGCGATCATGGCTCTCCTGTCATTTCTTGCTCTAAGTAATTTTTGTTTGCCCTTTACCATCCTGTTGCCATCCATTTATTCAAACTAACTTGTTAAGGAAGTTACTCACTATCTTCCTTTGCTTCTCTTGTCTTCAATATGTCCTGTAAGTGTTAAATTCTCCAGGCCCTTTCTTCTCATTAAGTTTCTCAAATTTCAACTGCTTCATTTCTGATTGTAAATATCTATTTCCTTGTAGTTCTTATCCTTAAAATTTCCTCATTACTCGCATGTTTTGTCCAGTGTTTGTCATATAGGAGATAATGTATAGCAATTAATTGCATTCTTCCTTATTTCTAACATTTTTCCCACCACTTAATAATAGTTTCTGAAAAGCATTTTTTGCTATTCCTACATACCTTCAGAATTGTGTGTTACTCTTTTTTTCTCATCTGTTATTACACAACCCAAATAGTTAAATTTCTATATCTGCTTGTTTTTTTTGTTGTTTTTTATATCTTCCAATATGTAATTCATACCTTAAACACTCTCTCTCTCTTACTAACAACTATGTTCTATATTCTTACAGTTAATGGTTAGACCTTTTACCTTTTCTAGTCATTTCAGGTTTTTTTTTGTTTTTTTTTTCTGAATCTACCTGCAACACAATGTCTTTTGTATATATTATGTTGCTATGATCATGTCCATAAATAAACATCCTGGTAGGTCTTCTAGCTTTCTTAAAATTGACTTATTATACAAGTTAAATAAATCTGATGAGAAAACACGTCCATGTCATACACTTTCTATTTTTACAAATTCACTAAACTTATTCTCTATCTGCATGTAAGTTGTAATTCCCAATAGGGATTGCAGATTACTATTTGCCATGTAAATCAAGCTCTTCTGATATATTAAGTAGTATCATATCCTAACAAATGTTTTTGTATAATCTATGAAACATTGGTATATGTCTTTCTGTATTTGATAACATGCTGATCACAAAAAAAAAAACACTTCTTGTTCTAGTGTCTTGAACAGAGCCATATTTCCAATCTTCTACAATCTATTTATTAGAATCCTAATGATTACTTATGCAGATCATAAAGCTAATTGTTTGATAGCATTTGTATTCATTTACATCTAGTTTGTTTGCTGGTACTATGAGGATATCTCTACTGAGATTTTCCAGTATCTTACCACTGTCATCAATTCCCAGATCATCTAAAACTGACAGCACCACTATTACTATTTCATCTGGTCCTACTGCTTTGTTTCTCTTCATCTTGACCTCTACTGATCTTACTTTGGATTTTTAGACTATGGGTCCTTCCTTTTTTTATGTATTATAAATTTCTCTCTATATTGACATGAAAGAGCTATTCATTGTATTTCTTCCATATCTACAGAATCTTTGCCTTTTCTATTATGATTGTTTTGTTTGTATTTATTTCTAATGTTTTAATATCCTATATTCTATATCATTTCTTGGCATTATTTGCTGTCTCCCTTTCATTAGAATTTTACCTGTCATCCAATTTTTTTTTCTTTTGTCTTTCTATTCCCTTGGTATTCGTCCTTTTATTGTTGTCACCTGTACTTCCCTTTAAGATGTTCCCCTTTAAGTTAACAACCTCTTCTAAGATTTTATATTTGTTCTTATCTCAAATTGCATATGTTTGTTTACAAATTGATTCATTCAAGAGTTTTTTTTGTATCATAGCATAGTAACCTATAGCAATATCTAAACTACTGTTTACTAAATTAGTAGTAATAAAAATAAAACAACTATTTTCACATCCTTATCAGGTGCATTTCTTTATCGATTTACTTAGATTCAAAAATGTGTCTTTGTCATAAAACTGAAATGTATATATTTGTATCCTGAGAAATATAAAGAAAAATGGTAATGAAAAAGATATCACAAATGGAGTATTTCTTCAAAATTTAATAAAACTGAATCTCTGTTTTGTCAATGGAATAAATGTTTTGATAAAAAAGAAATAAAGATTCATGAAAATATAAAATATATCAAGAAAGATTCAATCTTGTATTTGTTAATTGACAGTATTCATCTTAAAAAAATAATAAAATTGTATTTCATTAAAGGAAAATTAAAATTTAATTTTTTCTTGTTTTTGTATATAAATTAAACCAAATTTCCTTTTATTAAATATAAAACTGGTTGGCATAAGTAATAAAATCTACAAACTTTTTATAATCTGCAACCGATACAGAAATTTTAAGTACAACTTTTTTTTTTGTCTTTGTTTTTAGTTAATGTTATACAATGAGATTATTCAACAATGCCATCCCGGTCATTACCATATTCTTCCACTGGGCATGAGGTCTCTCGAGAAACTCATCCGTGTCATAGATGAGGAGATGGATTCAATTGGTGCCCAAAAAATATCAATGCCATGCATAACACCCTTGAGTTTCTGGAAAAAATCAGGTAATTTTTTTTTTTTTTTTTTTTACATATTCATGAATTTAATATATATTGGAAGAATTTATTTTATTTTACTTTGGTTGTTACAATATGTTATAATATTGCTCTCACTTAAGATTATTTATAATTGTTTTGTCATTCACAAATACCTTAGATAATTTTAAATTTATTTCTTTACATTGGGTGATTTTTATCAGTTGTTTCAACAAATTAAAATGTTATGAGGTCTGGAAATTTTTTTTTTTTTTTTTTTTTTTTAAAGCAGAAAATTGTTTTGTTAAATAACAAAATATCAACTATTTTCACCTTTATTTTATGTACTAATTATTGCTTATATAATAATTATTAACTTGTAATTATAAATGTACTAATTATTAACTTATATCCTTACATACAAAGAATGAGTTTTCAAGAAAGATAAAAAAAAATTGCCAATTTTAAAGATTAATATTTTATTCAAGTGGTGAAAATTAGTGCAGTTATTAGTGACACAAATCTAAATAAAATTTAATTTTAAAACATTTAGCCATTAGGGTTAATGCAGCTTACCATTTAATGTTCCTTTAAAGGCATAAATCCAATCTACCCTGTGCTATCACTATTTTCATAACCTCATTACAGCATGTCACAATAGTGAATAGAGGGCAATCACCTCTCTCCTTTGAACTTTAAAATAGCCACTGAATTTATTGTCTGTTATGTCAAGAAACTATATTGACTTAATCCAATGTTAAAATATGGAAATATTTTAATGAATGTTCTTTAAATATGAAAAAATGTTTTGATTGATAGTAGAAATAATTGTTAATGGATTTGAATAATTGTATTTCAACTCAATGAAATTCAACTCTTTTTCTATTGAAATTGGATAAAAACTAAGATCCAAACAAAATACAAATAATCAGTATTTTTTTATAGTCTGTGATAACAAGCCTTCATTTCTTTGACTAAATCTAAAGCAACTCAAAAGAAAGAAAAGGAAAGACATAAATTGTAAAATATGGCAAGTTGCATGTTGATGTTGAGTTGGGGACACCTAACCGATCGCTTTCCCAAGAACTACATGGTAACAGGCAGAGAAGAGAAAGACAGATGAAAACAAAATGACACTGCCTTAGAAAACCACAGCATGACAACTTTAGGAACAAAATGCCTAAGGGAACAACTTCACAAGATAGTCTCACCAACTACTGACTGCTGGTTTCCCATCACTTTTATTAGCATGAGACATCTGACAAAGGCCTGGATCTGGACAAGTTGCAGAGAGGCCTGTATCTAGATATGAAAACCTGAATGTAACTAGTTTTGACAGACATGTCCACACACAACTGTTACAAACCTACACAGCAAAGACCCTGTGTTTCAATATCTACTCTTTGACCTTAATATCTTTGATGTCATGAAGTATATGATTGTGATAAAGGATTGTAGATAAATGCTCATCTGGCTGGTTGTTTCATTTGGTCCTGTAAGAACAATAAATTTTTTTTTTTTTACGGAGGTGGAGGTAACCATCTCATCTCAACCAAGGCTATCAGTAGGACACAGTGAATGAAAGAGAACAAGATAAATGAGGAAAACATCAATAAAGAACAGGATTCAGATTCAGGAAGACAGAAGATGGTGAATGACATTGTATTTACATTTTTAAAGGGTGTAGAAAGAAATTGGGAATTCCACAGGTGAGAAAAGAAACTATGAGGATAGAATAGAAAGTTTTTTTGTCTAACCCAATTTCCAAAATACAAAATGACCAAAAATTTTTTATGGGCTTCTTTGTTGGACTGGGGACTATTCAGCACCCCTTCATTATACAGAAGTAATCTATTTCTGATAATGCTTAAAATAGTCTATTTATATTACTATTTTTGTCCAAGTGTTTTCATTGGAACATTCATTGATCACTATTTTGAAACTTGGATCATTTTTCTTTATAAGGTGTGTAATACAGTGTGTGTGTGCGTGTGTACGCATGCATGAGAGCAACTCGTTTATAAGCAACTGTACCTAAATTCAACTAAATTTTAAACAACTCCCTGGTTGTTAGCACTGTGGCTTAAGCAATGAAAGAAAAATAAAACAAAATTAAACACTTACTAAATATTATTCTATACCATATTCAAGATTTCTATCAATTCTACTACTTATATTGAAATGTCATTCTTAATTATTTCTTGGACTCAGTTACACAAAATTTAAGCAACTTGAGTCCTAATTCTTGCACAAAAATTAGGCAACCCAAGTACTGGTCAAAATTCTATGTTCCTTACAAAAAAAAAATCATGTACTAAGAATAAAAGCAATAAAAAAAATTGCTTTTTGTGGAGGCAATAAGTTAGGTAATTGGACTATTAGCAAAATGATGCAGCTACTAAAGCAATGGTAGGCAGTTATGTGATTTTTTTTTATTTTTTTTTTAAAGAGAATTTATGAATATTTTAACACTCGGACTATTTAGTAAAATCCAAATCAGAGATTATCTACCCAATCATTTCAGGTAGGTTAATTTATACTTAATATTCAACATTTTTAATATTCTGTGGTTACATTTTTGAAAATCAAAAATGAGCATGTGATCATTTTTGTTTGTTTTCAGGTCGCTGGCAAATAAAAGAACTTTACAAACTCAAAAATCGACAAGATCAGGAGTTCTGTATTAATCCTGTAGGTATTGTTCATTTCTTGTATATAAAAAAAACTTAAATTTTACTGGCTATAGTATATTTTTTAAATTTAAATTTTGTGTTTGGTCATATTTATACATTTTAATATCTTTGTCATTTTAATATCTTTAATATTTTTTTTATTTTTTAGTCTTTAGATTTTGACTGTTTTATGATAATATTTTTATGCAGAGCACATAGTAAAGAAATTTTAATTTACTCTGTGTTATCAAAATATGTGAACAAGAACTTATAATAAAATTAAATGTAATGTTATTTCATTAAAATAATTTTTAGACTCATGAAGAAAGTGTGTCATTGCTGTTTTCGTGTCATGCACCATTCACTGCAAAAGAAGCACCAATTATGCTTTATCAGGTAAGAGATCTTTGAGCTTTATTCTGTCATGATTTTCTTTATAAAAAGAAAAAAAGTATATTCAAGTTAAGTGAGAATTCCTTTAAGATTCCACACTAGGAAAACTGTTTCTGCTCCATATTTGATTCCTCATGGCTAACCCCAGTTCTTTATTTTACATCTATCAGATCTAGGACAAAGCACCCAAGGTATAGCTTTTATCCTTGGGCCCTGTGTAAAATGGACACTATTGTATAGACAATTTTAAACATCATTACATTTCTCATTCAATGCTGTCTATGTGTGTGTTTCATTGGTGGTGGTGTGTGTGTGTGTGTGTGCATTTGTTTTTTTGTTTTGGTACATCTGATGACTGCTGTCCAATTTCATTGTGCAATTACAAGAGATAAACAACTATCATGACATTTATTTTCTAAATTAGCAAATTTTCATTTAATATAGTTTTCCTTTCAGTATGTAAATCTGTAACACTTGGCCTACAACAAAAATTTTTCTTTTAATGCTGAAATTAGCAAATATTAAGGGTTTTTTTGTGTAAGTTTTCTTTTCTTTATATAAATTAAAATGATTAAGTCTAATTCAGCAACTGATGTGGCCAAAAAATGTTAGGCAACATAATTTTTGCATATAATTTATTGCTAAATATTCTTATTCATTCTATAAACTTTTGTATACTTGATGGATTTAACAAGATTTCAGGATGTACTGTAATGGTTAGGTAATTATTTATGAGTAATTTAGTAAATGTGAAGTTAGTTTTGTATTGTTTGATTAGCAGCATGTACATTATTTCCACCAGTTCAGACCTTTTCTGCTAGAACATACTTTGTGAAACAGGCTTTTTTGCCTGATTATGACAATCTTAAACACTTCAAGTCAAAGGTCAAATTGTTATGTATTTTGACTTCTTACCATCACCTCTTTTACTCATATCATTCACTTCATTTATCTATGATTTGGACAGTAACTCTCTACCCTAAGTTGTTCTCAAGTTTCTTTATTGGGTGAAATTTAATATTTTTTTTTTTTTTTTATTCAGACATATCTACCATATATACTTGAATATAGTGTGAGTTTTTATGATCAGCTTTTTGTGCAGAAAAAATAGTGGGTCACATTATACACAGGTAATCTTTTTGAAGAGTTTAAAACTCATGCTGTCCTGGTATGAAAATAAATTACATCCAGCAGCAAGGCCTATAATCAAGAGGTTTTGAGGAGCATCTTTTAAGTGCTGGTGTTCCCAGGTCCACCCAGACTCAGGGTGGTAGCACCTGTTATGGTCCCAACTATGGACAAATAGTTAACTCCCAAACTAGGGTCAAAACACTATGAAAGTGTGAAAATAAGTTATAATACCAGCAATACATTTTTGAAAAAAATATTACCAGCAATACATTTTTAAAAAGAAATATATATTACCAGCAATACATTTTTGAAAATAAAAAAAATATATATATACCAGCGATGCATTTTTGAAAATAAAAAAATATATATATACCAGTATGCATTTTTGATAAATAAAAAGAAATATATATATATATTACCAGTGATGCATTTTTGAAAATAAAAGAAATATATATATATATATATATATATGCATTTTTGAAAATAAAAGAAATATATATATATATATATTACCAGCGATGCATTTTTAAAATAAAAAGAAATATATATATATATATATATTACCAGCGATGCATTTTTGAAAATAAAAGAAATATATATATATATATATTACCAGCGATGCATTTTTGAAAATAAAAGAAATATATATATATATATATTACCAGCGATGCATTTTTGAAAATAAAAAAGAAATATATATATATTACCAGTATAAAATATAAAGAAATATATATATATATATATTACCAGCGATGCATTTTTTGAAAATAAAAGATATATATATATATATATATATATACCAGTGATGCATTTTTGAAAATAAAAGAAATATATATATATATATATATATATATATATATTACCAGTGATACATTTTTGAAAATAAAATATATATATATATATTACTAGTGATACATTTTTGAAAATAAAAGAAATATATATATTACCAGTGATACATTTTTGAAAATAAAAGAAATATATATATATATTACCAGTGATACATTTTTGAAAATAAAAGAAATATATATATATATATTACCAGTGATACATTTTGAAAAATAAAAGAAATATATATATATATATATTACCAGCGATGCATTTTTTTAAAATAAAAAATATATATATATATATATATATATTACCAGTGATACATTTTTGAAAATAAAAGAATATATATATATATATATATATATATATATTAGCATTGATACATTTTTGAAAATAAAAGATAGATATATATATATATATATATATATATTACCAGTGATACATTTTTGAAAATAAAAATATATATATATATATATATATATATATACCAGTGATACATTTTTTGAAAATAAAAGAAATATATATATATATATTACCAGCGATACATTTTTTGAAAATAAAAGAAATATATATATATATTACCAGCGATACATTTTTTGAAAATAAAAGAAATATATATATATATTACCAGCGATACATTTTTTGAAAATAAAAGAAATATATATATATATTACCAGCGATACATTTTTTGAAAATAAAAAATATATATATATTACCAGCAATGCATTTTTGAGAGAAAAAAATATATATATATTATAAATTGATTTATTTAAAATATGTTTTTTTTCGCTACACATATCTAAATCATGAAGAAAATATGGAGAAAATAAATTTCGGAATTTCTCTGAAGAACATTCCTAATACCAACAAGAAGGAATATTTCGTGATATTAATGAAAAAAACAGGAACTCATACGAAGGATGAGATAGAGAGCTTACTTCTTCCTTAATAAGAACAAAACACAAAACAAAAACTACAAGGAAACTTACAGTTTTAACAGTAAAAAAGCAGCACCATATATTCATAGTTTAATTTTAGCTGTGTCTTTAAAACCCAATAATTTTAAAAGTTACTCCAAAATTCGCTTGAGGATGAAATGGAACTAATGTCTTTAATTTACTTACAAAATTAAATTCGTAGCTTTTAGCTTCCATTTTTGAAACATGGTTAGAACTGTGTAGCGAAAAAAAAAACATATTTTAAATAAATCAATTTATAATATTAATGCTCTGTAAATTTACATTGAGCACTATTTTGTAAAAATAAAAATATCTATAAGAACACCAGATTATATATCTTACTGTTCTTTCTTTTTATTTATATATATATTACCAGCATTACATTTTTGGAAAAAAAAAAGTATTACCAGCAATAAAAATCTTGTCAGCATTAAGTAACCCATTGAGGTTGATATACTGTAAAACAAACTAAACTTCATGCATTTTGGTTACTGGTTGCACTATATATGAGTAAATTTTTTCTGAAAGGTTTAAAATTCATGCCAAAAAATCTGGGGGCACACAATACATGAAGTCAGCTTATACACTAGTATATTAGTTATTATAATTTATAAACACACACACACTAAAAAGTGCCTCAAGTGAAGTGGGTGGTTTATCCATTTGTGTAAAAACAGTATAAGCAATTCAAACGTCTAACAAACAATATGAGAATCCATGTTAAGGAGAACTATATAATGTAAAATATATATCTGCATAGCTTTGCACTACAGAAGGTCATGGCTGTAGATGTAGTCAAATGACAACAGACCATGCAATCAGGTTACATGATATATGTATTATGTGGCTTTTAACTATGACATGAAGCAATCAGCTAGTGACAGTGGAAAAAGCATCAACAGAAGCAGCAGAATGGAGGTGTGAAAAACCTTTTGACCATTTGTCCATGCTGTTGAAGAGGATCAAAATGAAATGGCTTCCCTGTCTGAATAAAGAAGCCTCATATTTATTTGAAACTCTCATTCTCTCCTCCAAACATTTTTGAATAAAAATTTCAAAAACCATAACTAAACATGTCCAAGTTATCTTGAAACATAAAAAATATTATTACATTGATATTTCAAAAGTGTTTATTACAATTGGTACCATAACTGACTATTTTATAGTCTTTATTTTATTACAGTTAAGACCCAAATAATAATAGGCCTTCTCATATCATTTGTATGCTTATTGATTCACCTTCATATACATGTCTGTAATGTAACATGTAGTTGAATTTTGATTTGAAATTTTCGCTGTACTAGTTACAATGTTTTCAATCTCTTAATGATATTCACTACTGTATTAAAATATAAAAAATACAATATTAAAAGTCTTAAAACAGAAGATCTCAGCTTGTAATTTATATTAAAAACTTTTTGTATTTCACAATAAGTGAGTTCAAATTATATCAAAATATAATGTACTGGAAATAGAAAGAACACATTTGAAATGCTACCTGAAATTTATTTTGTAGTCTTGCTAATTGTTGATAACTGAAATCTGTTTTCAGATTAGTCGAAAGTTCAGAGATGAAATGGCACCCAAGTATGCATTGTTACGAGGAAGAGAATTTGAGATGAAAGGTATTTTTTTTTATTGTTCAATGTGCTTATTTGGCATTAATGATACCTATTTTTGGCAAAGTTGATTGGAATTGTCTTGGATGAAATGACTTTTCATGATCATCATACAAAAATAATGTTTGTTCATGCATACAATACATAACTAGGTGTATGTGTGTGTAATATTGCAAAGAACTGACTTTAATTCATACAGTGTGGGGGCACTTTATTAGGGAGGGATGTAACACCTTTGAGCATGATCTCCAAAGAGGCACTCACTCTGATTTGTCAACTGATATGTAGTCTTTGAAATGTGGTGTCTGTAAGGACATGCTATTTTCAAAGGCAGATTTTGTAAACCATCTGAGAGGTTATAACCAGAAGCAAGCCAACCTGCCTCATTGGCCTGAATGTCCAAGAAATTTCATAGTAAATATGTGTCCTTCAACAGGAATTAAACCTGTATCCTATACAGAACCATCATTTGACCTGACATGATATACCATTTAGCTACAGAGGAAGCATCTGGTTAGCAAAGTCCAAATTACTGTTTTTAAACAACAAATTTCCCAAGATCTGTAGGATACAGGTTTGATTTCTGTGAGAGGACACATTTTCTACAAAATGTCTCGAATTCAGGCCAGCAAATATAATTAATACTATTTCTTATAAACGGAGCATTTACTTACATAATTGTATCTCTTAAAATAATGGATAAACACAAAATATATTAAAATGATTGTCGGACTTAGTCCATTTCATAATATATATATATATATAAATATATATATATATATATATATATATATATATATAAACGAAGTATATGGGTTAGTGTATATATATATATATATATATATATATATATATATATATATATATATATATATAAAACGAAGTATATATATATATATATATATATATATATATATATATAAAAATGGATTTTTTATTTATTGATCTGTCAGATTTTATCACTTTAAATGTTATTTTTAGTGGATACTCATACCGTCCTTGGTATGACGGTAAACTACATCCACGTCCTGGGTAAGATGATAAGTCCAACAGCAAGGCCTCTGATCAGGAGGTTTTGAGGAGCGTGGAACCACCTCTTAATTCCTGGTGTTCTCAGGTCCACCCTGACCTGGGGTGGTAGCACCTGTTAGAGTCCCAGCTATGGGCAAATAGTTGACACCCAAACTTGTGTAAAAATAGGTTTTAATACCAGAAATACTTTGTAATAAAAAAAAATATTATCAGCAATACTTTAAAAAAAAAGCAAAAGTACTAGCAATACAAAGAGCTATACATTCTTTGAAAAAAATATTACCAGCTATAGATTTCTTCAAGGAAAAATATTCCCAGAAATATATTTTTGAAGAAAAACATATTACCAGCAATAAAAATTTTGTCGGTATTAAATAACTCGTTGAGGTTGGTATGCCATAAAACAAACCAAACCAAACCAAACCACTAAAAATAAAATTACAGAATAATATATTAAATATACAGTCATAAATTTAACAAAAGAACTGTTTTATTAGCACTGTAATTACTAATTCATACTGTTTGGTGTTAAAATGCCATAGAATTCATTTTGTTCTACACCAGGTCATTGTATGTTAGTTGAGCTATTTTTCTTATGCTTTTATACTGTATTATTCCTGTTGCTATGCTGAAAAATAATGCTTTTATCTTTATTATAGATTTGTACACATTTGACAGTTGCTTAGAGAAGGCAAAAGAAACTTATGAAAATGTGTGCTTTGCCTACGAAAAAATTTTCAATCGTCTTCAAGTACCTTTTGTTAAAGGTATGCATTTTCTATTTTAATCCTTTTTAAATATATTACTTGATCTTAATTTTTACTGAAAAAAATTATCATAATTTAGCATTCTTAATAATGGTGTATAAAGTGTAAGAATGCTGAAAGTATTACAAGGAGGTGCTAAAAACTTCTTATTCAAATGTTCAGCCTTTTTTTTTTTTTTTTTTTTTTTACAAAAGTGGTCTGGATTAAGAACTTTTCAGCACTTCTACATACAGACTACAGGTCAATAAATATAACCAGAGCCGTTCAAGGGTCTCATACCACCCCCCCATTATTAATAACCCCACACACACTATACTACATCTCAATTTTCACAAGATAGTATTTATATAAAATACAAATTTTATTGTAATCATGTACAATAATGGATCTTATGCAATGTAGGTGAATAATTTGGCTAGAAAAATTGAAAATAAATACAATGTATCTAAATACAAATTAGGGACATGTCATAATAGATTGTTCCATCTTAAATGTTTTGCGGAATTTTTTAAGATTTTTCTTGTTAAAAAGTCGAATAATTTTAACATGTTAAACATTATGATAACAAAAATAATAAATTTTATGGTTTTTTGTTTGTTTTTTTTTTTTGAGACTTAGTGTGAGCAAAAAAAATTCATGTATTTGAAAGAAAAAATATAGAATGACGTCAAAATCTCTAAAAGTTTTCATTTAATAGTCAGTTTTGCTTTGTTTAATTTGTAACATATATCAGGTCATCCCATAAGTTCTGTCCGAATTTTAAATTTTTGCTAAAATGAATGAAATTTAAAGAGTATTTTATAATGTTTAATGGAGCTGAACATTATTTTTATGTTTAGATGCATTTAAACTGATTAATTTTTATTTCAGAGAACAATAAAATTAAATTTTGTTTGATTAAAACCCTGCTAACATGGAAGTACCCAAGAATCATTTGAGGCACATAATGCTTTATGAGTTCAAGAAAGGAAACTCGGCAGCCGAAGTGACTAAAAACATTCAATCAGTTTATGGAGAGGAATGTGTGAATGAAACAACTTGTAGAAGATGGTTTGCAAAATTCAGAGGTGGAGATTTCACCCTTGAAGATGAAGATCGAACTGGACGTCCAGTTGAGTTTGATGAAAAGCTTCTTGAAGCAGCCCTTGAAGAAAATCCTGCTTTATCAGTTGAGGTATTGGCAGTGGTTCTCAGTTCAAATCATACAACTGTTCATCATCATCTTCAACAACTTGGAAAATGGGTGCCTCATGAATTGGCTGAAAACAACTTCAAATCCCAAGTTGACATCTGCTCTTCTCTCCATTCTCACCAACTTGTTTCACCTTTTTTGGATAGATTTGTGACTGGCGATGAAAAATGGATCTTTTATTGAAATGTTAAGCGTCATAGACAGTAGCTTGGTAAAGGGGAAGGACCCCAGCCACAGCTGAGAAGGGAACTTCATGGGCAATAGGTTCTTCTTTCAATCTGGTGGGATCGCCAAGGAATAATCCACTTTAAATTCTTACCACCTAATGCAACAATTAATGCTCAAATATACTGTCAGCAATTAGAGCGTTTGAACCAAACTCTGATGAAAAAGAGACCTGCTCTAGTGAATCGAAAAGGGGTGATGTTTCATCAAGACAATGCGTGACCCCACACAGCAAGAATCATGTCACAAAAGATCAAAGAACTTGGTTGGGAGAAAATTCCTCATCCACCTTATTCTCCTGATCTTGCTCCTTCAGACTACCATTTGTTTCATAGCTTACAGAATCATTTGGAAGAAACAGCTTTTGTAACACAGGAAGAGGTTAAAACTGACATTTGTGAGTTCTTCGAATCAAAGCCAAAAGAATTTTACAGTAATGGAATTAGTAAGCTTGTTAATAGATGAAAGGAAGTCATAGATAATCAGGGAAAATACATTGTTGATTGAATCTGTAATTAAATGTAACATTTGGTCACTTGTTTTGTTTATTCTAAATTCGGACAGAACTTATGGGATGACCTGATAAATATAGATAGAAAAAAGAAAGCAAATGTTGATAAGATAGTGAGGCTAACAAAGCACTGCCAGGGGCTCAGTCAGTTTATCCCACAACCCACCCACCAGTCCTGTAAATAGGTATAAAACTGTATTAATATATTTCGATTCATAAAATCAGAAAATTAGAGTAAAATTTTACCTCAGTACAGATAAATGTGTCATGGTAATATTGAAATAAATTAAATGTGTGTGTCTGTGTGTGTATATATATATATATATATATATATATATATATATATATATATATATATATAATGAAGTATATATATTTTACTAATAGCAAAATTCTTAAAAAGGGTTTTCCTTGATGAATCTTTCTATAGAATTATGATCATCACTAAAATAGCTTGTGAAACATTATATCTGTTAAGTCTCCTCCCATTTATAATAAAAAAAATGTTCTAAACTCTGACACAAGGAATGTTTTTTTTATGTATTTTCTTCAATCTTGTCAGAAACTATTATAAATCTGAAATCAAATTAATAAAGATAGGTACCTCCACTTTTTCAGCATAAATTTTCGATGCCTAAGGTTTAAAATGAATTTTTAAATATGAAATCGCATTCTTGAAGATTTCATTTTAGCTTCAATTAAAAGCAAAAGGATTAAATTTATTATTTCCAGTAAGTAAAATATTCTGGTGTATTTCAGATAGAAATTATATCGATTGGAATGTCAAATTTAATTTGATTTCTTAAGTGGCCATTTTCTTAATTTTAAGAAATTTGTAAACGAACAAATTTATTGATTTTAAAACTCTTCCAAAAAATATATATGTATTTCTGACATGTTATTTGAGTAAAATTAGAAAATTTAAAGTTAAATTAATCTGATTTTAAATAAATATTACTTACTTATAGCATAAAAAATTAATATACAACCATTTGCTACTGACCAGCCCTGTTTATCTGAAGCGATGTTTGATGGATGATTAAGTGACAAAGTGATGACAGCTAATATGGCTGACTAGAATTGACATAAAATTTACAAAATCTAAGTGAATGCATTTTTTTTTTGGTTTTTAACTACCTAGTAATTTTTACAAATGAACATATTTTCCACAATTATCTAATAACTTATTGACTTATTTACTTTTTGAAGTTGCTTTATGCAAAAATAAAAAAATTTAAAATACTATAAAATTTTCTTAAATTTATTTCTCTGTAAAGAGACAAAGCTCTTAGATCATGTGACCTTTTCATAATAATGTCATCTTTAGACTTTCATAGATGAAAAAAGGGAATAAATTAATTAAAAAAATAAAAAATTATTTTAAAAATAGAATAGTGTAACTATGTTTCTTAATCTTTTCAATTTTGGATTCGTAAATTTCATTTCCACTTAATTACTATATCACATCCAGGAAATAGCCCAATACAGAATTTTACACAATTTTAAACTATTATAAATTATTATAATTAAAATTTAAAAAAAAAAATGAAAGTTCTTGTAAAAATTCATTATTCATCAGAAAACTTTTATTTATTCAGACAATAATGTCCTTAATATAACTTAATTAGAAAAGCTTTTAATTGCCTTTGTAAATAATGTCATAGTTTTATTGCATTCATTATTTTTCAATTCAGAGCAAATGTGTCTCTCAGCAGGTCATTCTTTTTCTTTATTATTTGTGAATTACCATGATTATTTGGGAAAGATAGTGGAGTAGTTTCCTGTTGTCCTTATCTTATCCTAGCTGCCATGCAAGAGGAGAGAGGTTGTAACCTATAACTGAGAGAAGAAATGGATTCATGCCTTTTCCCAATGGCATTATTGTGAAAGGAACACAACAGACGAGGTCAGACCTTGATCCGTGTTCACTGATTCCACTTTCTGTGCTGATAGCCATTGTAATACCTGCACATAGTTATTTAAGAAATCACAACTGAATTTCTTTTTCTCTAACAGTTCAATTACATGAATTTAAGCATGCTACTAGATTGGCATCTAGATCCCACCCTTTTACAGTTGAAATAGTTAAATGTAACTGCCACTTCTACTCTAATAGTTTCTTTTCTTGCACTTCCCAACTGTGGAACTCACTTCCTCTTACTTGCTTCCCTGATAACTACAATCTTCAAAAATTTAAGTGTAGTGTCAACTGCCATCTTCTGTTGACTTGTACTCCATTCGTCTTTTATTCTTTCCTCAATGCCCCTATACTCAGTCTTTTCTCTCAGTTTCACTCTCTGTAACCCCCTGTGTGCTCGTGGCACTCCTGCCTTGCTTGGGGTGAAATGCTTAAAAAAAAAAAAATGCCAAAAAACACTTATTTGCTATTTTTACAGTTGAGGCCAGCACAGGTGATATTGGTGGAAAAATCTCACATGAATTTCACTTACCATCAAATATCGGTGAGGATATTTTATATATTTGTAAAGGGTAAGTTTTCAAGAGTGTTTTGCATTTTTTAAGATTTGTCAATCTTGTTTTTGTTATTGTCTATTTTTTTCATTTTCTCCCTAACAGCCAATTTGTCATTTCCTAAAAAAGAGTGCTGTCAAAATTTATCATTTCTCTATGTACCATTATGCCATTTGCAACTTAGCTTTTATCTATATGAGTCTAAATAAACATTTTTACTGATAATAAACTTTGCAGTTGACCTTTGATGTCTGATTCCTCGAATGTTTTTGCATATATGCAGATACTGACATGGTTATATTAAAGATAAATGTTTATAGGATGTATTACAGGAATCATTGAATTAATGTATAACAAGCCATGTTATTTTTTGTTTAACAGTCATGGAATTTTTCATTAAAAATTTAAATTTTAGTAAGAATAAAAAAGCAATAAACAATAATACGATTGAGAAAAGTTTGTCTGCTTTTCATGGAACTGGCAAATTTGGTCTGCATGCTTATTAAAACCCAGTTGATAGTTTTAATGTAACTTTTTTCATAATGTAGGAAAGAATCTTTTATTAATAGGAAGTCTCTAGCATTAAACCATAATCGTACAGTATTTGTTTCCAAATTTCAAAAGAAAAAGTTAATGGATTATCTTGTTAAAAAAAATTTATATTTAATTAAACATTAAGTTTATAGATTTTTTGTTGTTGTTGTTGTTTTTTTTTTGTTTTTTTTCCAAATTGAAAATGCAAAATACTTAGCATTATTGCTCAGTTAAGCCTAACCATCCTGACTAAAGGTTTAAATCTATGAGTCATAAAACTTGTTCCCTCTACAAAAATATGAAATTTTTCACAGAACAATATTAGCTTCATAACATAATAAAAAAGATAAAATTGGTAATTTTTTTATGGTAAAAATTTTGGTTTATAACCAAAAATACACTTCAACAAGATTTTAATCAAACCTATGAGTAAATATAACTTGGCTTGTATACTTGAGTTTTGTCATATGCTAGTTTAGGGTTCAAATTTTAATGATAATTCACCTTCAGTATTTTGTATAAATAAACTTAGCCATTCAAAAATATGAGTCAATTTAAACATTTATCTTTTTTTTTTCTCTTTAGTTGCAATCATGGAGTGAATAAAGAATTAATAGGTTTGTAATATTTTATACTTTTTAATATAATTTATGTGAACAATTGCTATAAAAGAAACAATGCTTTACACTGCATAGTATCCATATCTATTTTGTGTGAATCTATCTTTGTATTACTTATAATAGTGATCTTTATTACAGATCAAAGCAAGGAGCAGCAATGCCCAAAATGTGGAGGTGATTTACATTTTACATCAGGCATTGAAGTAAGCATTATATTTTATTTATCTTTATTTGGCTCGAATAATCATGCAACTCTGTTTTACCTTCCAGTTTGTGAAAAATCAATATGTATTCCTTTTAATATTGTAATGAATGTGCTGTTCATTGTTTCAATTTCACTCTCAAACACAGCTGTCATGAATGAAGATCTCAAAATTAATTAAAAAAACAAACAAACATACGTAATTTGGACTGAGACAATGAAATTAAGTATGGCTGAACACTTAAGGCAAAAAGGAGTGGTCATCAGCTTTTGTAAAACAAGGTAAAAATACTAAATAGAAGAACTCTATAGAGTCAGACATCTGAAGTAATCAGCATATATGCTATGATGACCTATTTGGTAGGCCTAGCATAGAAATAAATACCATATAGGAGCCATTAATAAAGCTAGAGAAATGAAAGCAAGATTTCAATAACAGTAAGAAAATAGAAGCAACAGCAAAGGAAGTCAAGCATGGCAGCAGCAATAAGCAGATAGTAAGAACATTAGGTTTAAGATTTCAAGTTCTACGTTCAGGATTATCACATGGGACAATAGCTTAGTGGGTTAAAGCATTGGTTTATGAATTTGGTGGCATAGTAATTGTGAGTCAGTCTCTGGGCTGGGTAGTACAAAGTTGGAACAATAACTGAGCAGGGCTAAAAAGAAAAACATGAAATATTCCAAGACATGTATAGCAGAATGAGATTTACTTCCTTAGATTAAATAAAAGGTTTAGCTCTAAATTCACTAAAGGTTAGTTGGATTGATGGACATCTGAAGAAGACCAATGGGAACAATGACCAAAATCTTTGTGATTACAACAAAATGATGTTGCTACTCGCAGTGTAAATAAAAACCAGTGTAGACTCCAACATGCATACTTCCAACAGGAGTGGAAACATTGTATCTGGGAGCAATCAAGATTATGTCTTGTGGCATAAGAGATTGAAGTTAATTGGCTCCACATGTAATGCTAGCCTCAGAAAGATATATGAATAAACCTGCAGGTCAAATTTGAACTTTCATTATTATATATTAATTTAATAACCTCTGGGAACACTGGTTCAATACTGAAAGTAAAGTTGTCAGAACTACAATAACACAGTATTCATAATCTGAGGCAAAAAGATTAAAATGCCAAAAAATCTCTTCAATTGCATCAGGACAATCATTGTTTTTGTTGCCTTCATAACAATCTGAGAATTGACTACCTAAAAAACGAATTAGTTTGTAAGAAATTTTGTCAGTCACTATCAAGAGATTAAAAATTAAACCCAGCCTAAAAACAATCTCCTATAACAAACAATATTGTCCCTCGAATCACACCTTAAAATGTATTATTTACACATGCTAGTAATTTTATTCTGATTAAATGCTTCTTGAAATTAGTGATCTTTAGATATAGATGAAATCAGATGCAGACAAGAATACTCCAGTATCATTAAAAGCAAAATCTTGGCTCATCTGACAAAATATAAGACTCTTTTTAATCCCAAATAAGAATCCTTTATTTTCTATGTTATGATATATGGCTGTATTCTCTCTTATCTACTGTAAATATAACATAATATGACCTAATGAAATAAATTGTGTGTGTCTGTATATGTATATATATCAGTTACTGTTCAATGTATCTAACTATATTTAAGTGTATAGGATACTGTTTTTGTGGGGGAGGGGACAACAAAATGATTTTAAAAAACCCTCTTGGCTGCTATATATGAAGATTAGGCACTTCTTTTAGGCTTAACTACTCTAAATTATCAGCATTTTGGGAACATTCCTCTTTTTCTTTTCCTGTGTATACTATATGCCATAAATATGAGGAACTGCAGAAAAGTTTTCAACCCAATTCAATTACCAAAATTTGACCAAACATCAGTTTTTAAGAGTGTCTTTAAGAATTTTTCTGCACCCCACCCTTGTATAACTTATCTCACTATCAAATAAAACAATAAGTGTTACAGTAGCCTTCATTAATATTCATCTTTTGATAAGTGTTTCATTCCCAAAATGAAAACTTATATTGAACCTAAAAGGAAAGATGAGATGTAAATTATAAGTGAAAAAAAGAAAATGCCATAGTTTTAGGGCTTTTTGTATGGAAGAAAGATGTCATTAAAAATGAATAAACAAATATTTTCTAATATCTATCCATTAACCTGTTCCAGATTGATAATATTTATTGATTTATTGTGAAGAGTATTTTATCACCCTCTTCTGAATATATAGGCATTTTACTTGCCTGAAGTTCGAGAGTGTGTAACTTAAGCAGTGACTAAAGCTGTACCTCATTGACAGTTAATGCTGTGAAGTGTTTTTTTTTTTTTTTGCTCTGTCTGAATAGCCCAGGCATTGAGCACTGTTACCTACTGCTTAGGTAGGTGTTTGCCTTTTGGTCTTTTCTTTCTTAGTTTGGATTATTATTATTATTATTATTATTATTATTATTTTCTTTGATTTCTGGCGTTTACATTTTTTTTCCGGTCCCGCCTGGGACCTAAGGTTAGAAATGGTGTCATGACACTTTCCACTGACAAAAAAAAAAAAAAAAAAAATAAAGCCCTTCGTAAGGTGTGGGCTGTACTTGTCAGAACAATTTTCTGTATCTCCTTGAGGCATGGACTTCCAGGTATCCCTTCAATTAGTCTACTGGAATCTTTTCCAACCAGTCCTAGGGCTCCAACTACAACAGGGATTGTTGATGTTCCCATATGCCACATTTTCGCAATTTCTATTTCAAGGTCCTTGTACTTTGACAACTTTTTGAATATCTTCAAAGATACATTGCAGTCGGCAGGGACTGCCATATCAATAAGGAGGCACCGTTTTTGGTTTTTTTTTTTTTTTTTTTTTTTTTTTTTTAGGTCTTTTGGCAGGTAGTTTGTTGTTTGCACCAACATTTTGGATTTTATATTTTTATATATATATATATATATATATATATATATATATATATATATATATATATATGTGTGTGAAAAGTGAATATAAATATAAATAAATATATATATATGTATAATTATTTATATATTATATGCGCGGTACTTATTAGAAAGCGCTCAATATCAGAGATAGAGCTAACATATTTGGTTGGATAGATGTGAGTTTGTGACCCTGGGTTTCACGCTTTAGCGATCGTCTATAAAAATATTGTCTTACCTTGTTCGGGAAAAATATTTTAAAATATTTTTCAAACATCCAAACTTACTGACAAAGCAAAGCATTAAAAACAGGAATATTTTGTTTAAAAACAAAGAAAAGAGTAGAGTACTGAACTGTTACATAATGTCGATCCATGCTAGAAAATCTTTTCACAGATGAAGAAGAGACCTGAAGCAATAGAAATGTGGTTCTATAGAAGGATGATGAGAATACCATGGTCCAAACATGTCAGCAACAAGGAATTTTTAGAGAAAATAGAAACAAAAATACAACACAGAAATGTTATTTGCTCATTTGTGATTTGTTAAAAGGTTTTTTTGTAAATGTTTAATATGGATATCACCAAAAAATTTGAATCATTAAATACCAGTATAATAATTGTAATAGTATTGAGTCTTATTTATACAAGTTGTTGTTTTATTTCAAAAATTTATAATTCAAATTTCATTCTTTCACATTTTCATCCTTTCCATATGTAAATGCTTATAAATCACTCAAACAGCTTAATTTTTAGATCTTTGACAATGTTTAGATCATGTTAAAAGTGTGATTGAAATCTGTTCAGCTGTGTCTTGAATGGAAGCACTAAAAGTAAAGGTAATAATTTTTATTCTTATAGGTGGGTCATGCTTTTCTTCTGGGTCAGAAATATTCATCAATATTCAAGGCAACATTCATTGACAAAAATGATAATATCATGTAAGTGCAATTTTGTTAAATGTTTTTTTTTTTTAATTTATTGGTGATTCAGCTAGTGTACATCTTGTTAACTTGATCTCTACTGAGACATTAAATGCAGTCAATGCTCTCTCATCTGCCAGTCTTGAATCCCAAATGCAGCAAAACAGAGGATTGATTCTATTTATGTATTTCAAAAGACCTGCTGAAAAATTCTTCATTGAGTCTAATTCCAAAAATCTGACCAAATAACCAAACATCTATTTTTATTTTTTATCCTTTCTTGCTCAGACTATAAATTTTCAGCACCTGTCACTGACATTATTCTAATCACATGATATAATAGTTGTATATTTTTGTCTGTAACTTTTAATATCACTACTTTTCTCACTTGTACTAGCAATATCAAATGGCAGTTTCTTTGCTATTACAATAGCGAACTGTTTGAAGATGGAAGTGAAAAGACTGAAAGAACAGAGTACAACAATAATTGCAGTGAATATATTAAAAGAATCAAATGTGAGAACCTAATAGTAAAGTCTTAATAAAATATGTTGTTTTGATAGCATTGGGTAAACTAGGATATATAATAATAATGTTTATACATCCTCAAGTGTGTGTTATTGTATTAATATTTCCTAAATACTGTTTCAAGTGTCATTGATATTGCATTTGAAATAATTTTTACTTTGTACAATCATACCTCCCTGGAAAATATTTTAACAGTACTCAAGCAGTAAGAATATTAGCTGGTTATTTATTTGTACAACAGTCTACAATATCTTTTACACACAGCGGTTACCATTCTGAAAATGTTAAAGCAGAAAACCCTTGCATTTATTATTTAGTTGGGGATTAAAATTCTCTTGCTATTGCTATTTACCAAGCTGGATTTTATCTGGCATATGGCTATCAGTGTGTGAGCAATTAGTGAGAATCAAAATCACAACTGCAAGACTAAATTGTTATTCTTGCACAGTGAGGTGCCTTTAAGGTTGTCTTATTATGACACAAGACCATAGTAATGGAGTATCTAACAAGGATGAAATTCACTTTTTCAAATTGCAAGACATTGTTGTCAACCATCACATAACAATAAGCATCTGATTTCTATTATCTTTTGAGAATTTCTGTCAATTTCTCAGAGGAGGAGTTATCATTATTTACACTATTTACATATAAACTATTGTCCTCATCTTTGTTATCATACCATTTTGGCTATTGTGCCCTCCGACCTTTATCAGGTATGTCAATCCAGATAACCTACAGGGAATTCCAAACTAAACCTTTACAGAGGTAGACCGTTCTTTGACTGCCAATGTCTAGGGATATCTCATTTAGTTATTTTTAGTACTGCTCAGTTATTGCTCACCTGTTTCTACTGAGTTCAAATACACACTGCTAAACCCAGGGATTGAACCTACAATTTACTAAGTCACAAAATTCTTGAATTAATGCTTTAATCCACTGGAAGTAGAATGAGAACAGTCTATCATCATAGATTAAATAAAGGGTTCAGTTTGGAACTCTTTTGCATCACCAGATATATTTTTACATTCTTAAAAGTTTAGCATCAAATGTTCTTTGTCATAGAATGGCTTTAGTTTTTTCCCCATCCAGACAGTTACTAATGGAGTGAAATAGCTTGTAAGAATAATAGGTTTTAGTAGTGTATTAATTAAACAAAGTACATTGATAGTTATCTACCTATCTATCCATCTATCTATAAAATTCCGTGACTTCTGTTAGTCTATCTGTCCATCACACCCTCTAAAAATAGCCATACATTGACTGATCAAACCAAATTTGGGGGAGAAGTGCAAACAGGTAAAGGGGTACAAATTACAGTTGGTTTTACTTGGGTTTATAACTTAGTACAATAAATTTTCATTAATTTTGTGGGGAAAATTAAAAGTTTTATTAACATACAAATTACTCCCACTATTTTAAACATAATTTAATGATAAAAATGCAATATTGCTAATTGTCTATCTTTTCTTACATCTTAGTTTTTATATTTCATCAATTGGTTTACAAAATTGAACAAAACATAGAGTTTGTAAATTTCAACAAAAATTGTTAGCAATAACTTCAATAATACTAAATACTGTTAGAATTTCAACATATGCCAGCGTGTTGCAAGAAAATGCTAATGTTGATAAAATACAAGCATATTAATATAAAAATCCTAGACAAAGCTTATTCTTTATTTCCAATACATACAGTTTACTTAATAGTTACAGAATAACCATCTGACAATTGTGATAAAGAAATAACAAAAATAAGATGAAAGAATAGAAGTAGGTTTGCATATGTTGGTTATAATTTCACTTTCAGCTCAGGACTTGAAACATTTTAGCATATGGATTTTTAGATGATGACAGCATTTAACTATATATGATTCGATTCAATGTGTTTTTTTTGTTTTTTTCAGACCTTCACAAATGGGTTGCTTTGGGTTAGGAGTCACCCGTATTCTTCAAGCTGGTATAGAAGTACTCTCTCTAGATCGACAGATTCGGTGGCCAAAACTCATTGCTCCCTATCAATTGTGCATTATCCCCCAAAAGGTTTGTCTAGTGATATTTTTAGCCAAAGTATAATGTTCTCAAAAACTGCAATGTCAGATTCTTATTGGTAACTGCATAGATTTATAACAGACTTGACATTCACAACTTCTTTTGTATTCTTTCTTGTACAAGGTTTGTTTTCTAATTTTGTATATAGCATCCAGTTTGTTATATGTAGGTATCCATTAGACATGTTCACATTCCCCAGAACTCTGCAAAGATTGAGCTCATCCCTAGTTGTTTGTGAAATTAGTGAACTCATTCCTGAATACTCCCTCTTGCAAGTATATATATATAAAATAGTACAATAATACACATTATGGGATAGTATTTCCCAATGCATATCCTAATCTATGGGTTTCAATTTAATCATGTGTTCAGAGACACACTGTTAATGACAAGATGAATTTAAAATTTAATAAGAATAATATTTTATCTGTAGCTGTCAACAGTGCATGACTTATGGAGGGATCATATTGAGTAGTAATAGCTCAGAGTACTGTTTTAACCCACTGATCACATTTAATACATATTTATGCATATGGAAACATGTAACCACTTAAATGTATCTACTAGTCTTTATCAAAATTGTTCTTTTCTATAAGGAATCACAAAAAGTGAAGAAATTCTTTCACTGTGTATTCATGTTCAGATTTGATTTTTTGATTACTTTTTCATAATCATAAGGAATCTGTTATTTTCATCAGTCTTTGGTGACCATCCATACATATTTTAATTTCATGAGCCTTTCTGTGTACTTCAACACCAATTACTAGACAAGTGTGTTCATTAGATATAAACTAAAGAAGCCCTTATTCTAGGTGTGATTATCATGTTTTATTCAAACTATGCATAAAAGTTCTTGTTTTTAGCAACCAATTTGTTTGAAAAATAGTAACCTAAAAATATATTTAATATACTTACACCTATCTATAGTAAGTGTAAGACTATCTAGAAAATCACTCTTACAAGTTACTTTCTTTCATGTAGATCCATTCATGGTTTTAATTGGAAAATCTCTGGTTTTGGATAATAAATGAGGCTCACAATCTGATAATAATGCTGGAATATAATTTACCTTAACCACTATTTAATATCAAAATGTCAACAGGAGTCTGTCAGAGAATTTCAAAATGAATATCTTGTAAATTTCTTAAATTGAAAATTAGGAACAATGGTTTAGTTCATTTTTATTAAGAATATAAATGTGTAATTGGAAAATTTTAATGTTTAAAAATATAACCTTTTTTTTTTAGTATGTAAATTAGTGTTCTAGTCATAAAATTGCAAAGATTCACTGAAGTTTTTACTTATCTAAAGTGTGTGTGTGTGTGTAAAGACATTCGGATTACTAAGACAAAAACAGAACGCCTCATATCGAGAATATTTAACATTGAAAAACATAAGGAAAAAATTAATTATTTTTAATAATATGTGGAAATCTCTGCTTTTACCTGAGGACAGTCATGAGACCAGAAACACATGTAGTAAAATTATGGAAAATAAAGCATAATATTTAAAAAAAAAAAAAAAATCCACATTACAACCAAAAACGTTTGTGGCACCTCTCTTCTCTTATTTTTAATATACATACTTTTCTCTCGTTGGAACCACTACAACCTCTTTCTTTTATTTATATATATATATATATATATATACACACACACACACACAGTGTTAGGCTCCAACATTTACAAACCAGTTTTCTTTTGTTACATCCATATTTTTTTTTCTAGGATGAAGAAAAATTACATGATAATTTTATCATGCTTCAAATATTTCCTTATTTTTTTATACAAAAACAATGTAAATTAATAAAATTAAATAAGCAAAAAATATGGTAGTTTTCAAACAATTCTTTTTCTTCTTCAGGAAGGCTATCAAAGTAAGGAAACGATGGATTTGGCCATGGCCCTAAGTGACCAAATAATAAACATGCCCAATTTAAATGGAGAAGTTGTTATTGATGACAGATTACACATGACCATAGGTAAAAGGTTATATGAAGCAAAGAGGATTGGGTATCCACACATTGTGATTGTTGGCAAACGGGTAAGTCTGTAATAAATTTATTTAGAATTATATAAACAAATCTTAGACAAACTCAAGAATAAAACAAAAATAAATGCAACCCTTAACTTTCCCTCTTTATAGTTTGTAGCAAGATGGTCATAGTTATTTACTATAGCTTTGTTTATCACAGTGGCACAATGGAGGAGCACCTACTAACAGCTACCTCGTTTTGTAGGTTAATTGGTCTGTGAGCTTGATAGCCATTGTACCCAGGTAAGCAGTCTAATATTAAGCTGAGCTTAGTTTGGTATATCACTACAATAGTAGGGAATCTTTTAGGCACAAATTCCTTATGCTAATGAGACTAAGATAGGCTTGAGAATTGGCTTCTATTCTTGGTTGTTTTATATCAATTTGAGAATAAAACTTCTTTGACTTTTATATCTTTTTATATGGTCCTACTGTGAAAGGTTCAGATTTACTGTAATAAACTTAGTTTATTAGGTTTTATTCAACAAAGAACATGCCAATATATCCAGCAGCAATCTATGTAGGTTTTCAGCAAGAAGCAAAATCTACCAACTTCATACAAGAAAATGGCAATGTAGTTATGCAGTTTTTTCAGCCATGATACTTGTCTATCTCATCAACCACAATCAAAGTCACAGTTATTGTGAACACAATGATACTTTCATTGGCTGCATAATGTGTGCTTCACCAGACTTTTACAGTTTTGAATTCAGTTGTCCTTCTCTAAGACTCATTACTAACTCTAATTAATAACTAAGTACATTCATTTTATTTGAAGAGTGTTACTTTATAGCTCAAAGAAGATTGTTGAATATAGCAGATTAATAATTCTGCTTCAACAGAAATAAAATTAATGCTAGTTACAAACCTCTCAGGTAAAGGAACTTATCCATGGTCCAGTTACTCTAAGTCAGTTATATTTCTTTGTTTAATAAATTGTAACCTAACTACATTTTATTTTTTGGTTTTTATTCAGCAAAGAATATGGCAATGCACATAACAAAATCCACTGATGTCACAGAAGACAGCAACAAAGTATAATAAAAAAGAAGCCAACTCTCAATAATATCAATTTTGAACATGGCCACAACATGCTGGCCTAGTTTGGAAAATTAAAAACATTCCTATCCATTCATATATAAAAATCTACATATTCAGTTAAACAAAAAAAACATCCTTGATAATGGCTAATAGATTAGCCAAAAGTGCTCAGATCTACAGATCACTTGGACAGTTTTACACACTATGTCCATGAAAGAAATGACTCCTACAATTACAATAAAAAATTAATAAAACACTTAGTTGCAGTTCTTTGTCAGTCTTCTATGAAACTTATATAAAAGAGTGATTGCTACCTGAATACACACACACACACACATATATATATATATATATATATATATATATATATATATATATATATATATATATATATATATAAACAATGAAGTCAACACTCAGAGGTGACAGGCTATTTCATGCTAAACACAATCATCATGCCTGATGATTTTGTTTAGCATGAAAAAGTTTGTTTCAATGTTCACTTTTATATTTACATATGCTCTATCTCTGATATTGAGCACTTTATCCCATACTATTTATTTTAAATAGTATTTATTTCATCTACCAGCCTGTGTACTTAAAACTTCATAAAGTAAATGTGCCCTCTGGCAGAATTCGAACCTTCATCCACCTACTTTGCAGGAGGAACCACTATCTGATCTGGTATGCTTTGACTTCTTGGCTACAAAGAGCTTCACAGTCAAACATTCTTTTTCTCGAATATACCAGCCAGTAGATGAAATAAATACTGTTTATATAAATGAAGCTTATATTCAAGTATGCATATCCACTAAAATTAATGTTTATAATGTTTAATAGAAGCTTTACAATTGCAATCTTAATTCATAGATTTAGAAAAAAATATGTCCAGAAGTCACATTTAGTAAATTGTCCCTTTCTATGAACAGAAAGTGTCTTCAAGCATGCAGTTAGTGCAGCGAAGACTGTTACTACTAATGTGGGACTGTTGCATTACAATCACCAACTGAATTACACCTCCCATTGGTATTATAACTTGTTCTTCACTCACTAAAGGCCATTAGGGTTCTAGCCATGAAGTCAAATTATGAACCTGAATTTTTTTTTTTTTTTTTTTTTTTTTTTGAAAGGCAACATTAATAAGTTGGACTGAAATTTGTAATAATGTACTAAGAAATATTACATTTAACGCAAACTGAAGTCTCCCTCTCCTACGTTTTAATTAGTTAAATTTTGTATAACTCTACTGCATTGCTTTTTTAATTCTATTCACAAATCCCTAAAAATGACTGAAGTTGTCCTTGTAAAGTTAGACAAATGATGAATAAGCAACAATTTTCTTTTCTTTTTTTTCTATTTGTTATCTCTGTATTTTCCCCTTTTATTTGTGAGTGTGGTTTATGAAAATTCAAGCAAGAATAAATGCCACCATTTTATCTCTAAGCTTGTAAGACCATATATTTGTGTGGAAAGGCAAAAGCAAAATATATTAACATAGATGTCAGCTTTTTCTCTGCTAAAAGTTATTGTCTCTTTTTCACTTTTTTTTTCTTTCAGGCCCTTGAAAGCCCACCTCAGTTTGAAGTGATTTTACCAGAATGGCAAGAATGTCAGTTCATGTCTGTGGATTGTTTGTGCCAAATTTTATCTGGTGTCAAGACAATATAAAACCTTTTTTTTTAATTTTCTGGTTATTTTAATTGAAGAATCTTTGTTAAAATGTTCAGAAGAGTCTGTTTGTTTTCTATATATTTTATATAAACACATTAAGCACAACAGAAAAAGTGCTTATCTCTACAGAATAAAAGTTTGATCTCTAAACAGATCATGCTTGGAATCTGAGGTTTTGGTTGGAAGTGCTTTTTTGATTAACTTTTTTGATTTTGAAGTTGTCATTTAGTTATCTTTGTTCCTTACTCTCATATTTGAATGCTACAATGGAGATATTCTTACATGATCTTGTAATCTTTTAAGTGTTTAAATGTCTATTTTCCATTTATCTTTATTACTAAAATAATATATTCATTGCATGTACTTAATTATATACATTAAAATTGCTAAAAAGGAGCAAAATAATTTTATTTATAAACTTTTCAGTGTTAATCTTGTCTAATATAAGGAACAGTTGAAAGAAATTTCTTCAAATGTCTTTCTGAAAATGGGAAAAAATCTTGTCATAATAACCAAGCTGTTAGTCAAATTTAGCATCAAAGATAAGTTTTATCAATATGTAACTCTAAAATGAAGATTTACTTATGTATAATAAAACTATGAACTCGGGTAAGAGATTATATATTATGTTATTAGTATTGTTATAACAAATATGACTAGCAATAGAATCCACTGAATTTATTACAATTTCAATTTAGTTTATTGTTTGTAAGTTTTTCTTCAACCATCAAATTGGTAAATGTTAGAACATATTACAAATAAAAGCTGTAAAATGTGCATTGTACAATCATCTAAAAAATGTAGCTGTCTGTATCACCTGACAAAAAATGGTGTGAATATGAAAATAATAAATTACAAAGATTGTTTTTAATTCATTGTAAATCCCACTTTGGAACTTAGATATTTTATTTGTTGATTTTTTTTCTTAATAGATTTCTACCATAAGCACTAATACATAAAACAGGCTCTCCCAAAGCCTGTAAAATCATGACATATTTATCATTTTTTATGATTTAAATTATTCATAATTGACATCAACTCTTTTCATTGATTATGCATAAATAGAGGGGTGAGAATTAGATGATTATCAAGCTTACTTTTCTTTGCATAATTAAATTTCAATTTCACGTTATAAAATTATCATCCCATATTAACTTTTTTTCCTCCATTTATGCCTCATCTTAACTGCATAAAACTTTGATTTGATGAAATCTAATTTAATGATAATACCAACAGAAATATGTATTACTTAACAATCATTTTAATCAATGTGTTGGGAGTGTTATGTCTCATGAATGTTAAGAAGCAAAATGAAAGGTGTATTAATATTATCCATAAAATCCAAATTTTTAAAATATCCTTAATCTGTTAGGGAATGTTGTTCTTAGTATAAATTAAATAATGATAATATCACCAACATAATACACACCACACAATTCTAGGTGAAAAATCATAGTTGATTTTTGAGATAAAGAAACAGATAAAAGGAACAATAAGAAATTGGATTTGGATTCAGCTAGATAGAATGTTCTTTTTGAATTATTACATCAAATGTATGAAACTACTGTTCTGGTGTTATCATGACATGAATGTTCAAGGTAAATCCCTTTCTTTTCCCACTTTTTTTTTTTTTTTTTACATACAAATTTATGATTAGAGAATAAAGAAAAAAATGTTTGACAACACAAAGAACTTGTACTTTTCAAATAATTTGTATCAATTTGCACTGCCCACAGGCTGGTCAAGAGTTAACTGCAAAATCTAAAGTTACTGATCTGCTTTTTTTTTTTTTTTTTTCAAAAGAAAAACTATTCTCTACCTCAGATTCTGTTTTAGCTGTAAGTTGGAGTTTTGGTTATAAAAATGCAAAATTATTTTGGTTGCTTTTGTTTTCCTCTAACAAATCCTTAATTAGAATTAATCCTTTTAATCTGGGTTTTATTTCTTATATAGTTTTCATACACAAAAAGCCTAGCTTTATGTAAACAAAATATTTTAATTCATAATAATCACAAATGCTTCTAAATTTAAGAGAATTTCAGTTAGATTTATAGTTTCCAAATGTGTTTGCATATAGAACAATTCTGTTTAATATTTTTTATACTTATGAATTAGAAACAAGACTATACACCCACTAGTTTGGCTAGTAAGTTTATCAATTTTACCCACTTTCTCTATTGTAAACTTAAGGACAATATTCCTGCTGTTGTAAGTTATAAGAAAATTGTTTGAGACCTTTGTTCAATTTCTATCTTTAGAATATGTGAAGTTAGCTTTATAAGTCTATTGCTTGACACAGTTATTAACTGAATATTGATCTGAAATTTTTAATGATAATGTTTGATCTATGATGTTGAACAATAAATATTTGTGTAAAATGCTCTTTTTTTTCCTTTCATTATTAAACTGTAGACTTATTGATGTACGTAAATGCTATTATACTTTTCTGAATATGCTCATATTTTTTAGAACTCCATATTCAATGTAAATTTGCTAAATCCTAATCATTCAAAACATCAGCCAGGTAGTACAGACTAGAATAAAGTATTTGGCTCAATGATAACTGTTAAAGGATCTGGGGAAAGTAAAGTATAACGGTATGCAGTTGACCTTTTTGTTTTCTTTCTTTCTCCTATAAACCAGCCTACATTTTCCCTATCAGTTACAAGCTATCAAAGCTGCACATTTTCTCTTGTTACCTGTGTGATTAATGTATTAAAAAATGATTTAATAAACTTTAAAAATGTTTTTTTAAGAAAATTTTACTTTGTTTGTAATTTTTTAAGGCACATTAGGCTTTAATTTAATATTTCTTATTGATTTTTGTAATCAAAATTAAGATTCCAGATGGAAATTTTCTGGTAGGTAAATGTGAGATATAGATCTCTTACTCTTCATATACGTAAGCAAGACATACTTATTAACTGTGTTTTTTATTTGTTTGCTTTTTCCAGAAATGTTTGATAGGTGTGATTAAAATAATTAATATTCACCACTGCATTAAGTGCATTATCAAGGAAGGAGGTTGTTGCACAGCTATCTCTAGGATTTACAGAGAATAGTTGGAAAAGAAACAATTCCACTGAATGGCAACTCTGTGGTGGGGATTACTTGTTGATTAAATAGGTATTGGAGGATAATGACTATACTGGTTCAAGCTGATATCAAGGCAACAGTAGCCCAAATAACCATTTTTTACAATGGAAGATTGTCTCTGAATGTGCAACATGTTGAAACTTGACGCAAATGGGCTACAGCAGAAAACAAGAAAATGAGCCTACAATTAGCTAAGGATAAAACAAATTGGACATCAGACAATAGATGATTTGGGTAATGCTTCCTTGTCTGATGAGTCTCAATTTCTGCTGTAACAGAAATAGTAGGTAAGGCCAGAGTTTGGTGTAAGAAGCATGAAATTGTAGATCCATACTTCATTGTGTCAATGGTTCAGGCTGGTTATTGTGGTGATATAATGGTTTAGTGAATATTTTGGGATTAATGAAAGATTTGTTAAATGCTGCTGCCTACTGCATTGGGACTGAAATCATGCTTCAGTTTAGTCATAAACTGAAGCATGTTGTCCTACTGGAGGTGGTCACAAGAGGATGGATGCACTTTAGTCATAGCATCCATCCATCTTGTGACCACCTCCAGTAGGACAACACACTGTATCACAAATCAAAAATAGTAGCAGATTGATTTCACTGGATTTCTATCTCATACAGCAACTTTCGGATGTAGTGGAAAGAATATCACTGAATCCTTGCCAAGGATAATTGAGGCAGATCTAAAGGACAAAATGAGACTAACCCAGGACTAGAAGAGTATACCTAATGAAGTGACATGTATGTATGTATGTATGTATGTGTGTGTGTGTATATATATATATATATATATTATAAATTAATTGATTTAAAATATGTTTTTTTTTTCGCTACATAGTTCCAACCATGTTTCAAAAATAGAAGCTAAAAACAATTAAATTCGGGGTTTTTAGCTTCTATTTTTGAAACATGGTTGGAACTATGTAGCAAAAAAAAAACATATTTTAAATCAATTAATTTATAATATTAATGCTCTGTAAATTTACATTGAGCACTATTTTGTAAAAATAAAAATATCTATAAGAACACCGGATCTTATATCTTACTGTTTTTTCTTTTTATTTATATATATATATATATATAATATATTACTTGATTTTACCGAAAAATTCTCAAACCAACTAAGAAGGGATGTTAGAAAACTCTGATGTTTGCTCATTTTGGTTAGATTTTGGGAACTGGTTTGGGCCTTTTAGTGCACACACACACTGTAAAATTTCAGACAGAATATATCTGTAAATGGTCAATTTGCCGTAATAAGGTTCACCAGAGGACAAAATGAGTTGGCTAAGATAAGTTTTCCTTTTATTTTCATTCATAGCAGTATGTCTGAAAAACCAGAAGTCAAATGGGCGGCATGGGTGGCTTGTCCTTCTCCAAGGTCTGTCTGACCTTCCATCTCAATTCATCCGCCTAAGCCTGAGGGATGTTCCATATAATATCAGGACAACATTCAAAAGCTTGACAAGACTTCGCCAGATATCTCTCCTGGGTAAGACACACAAACACACACACAACATCACCCCACCCCACCCCACCCCACCTCCTTAGAGGAGAATATGACTAAACACTGTGTGTATGCTATCCCGTGCAGCTGCGGAAAGAAATATAAAGGGGAGACAGGCCGCCCCCTTAAAGAAAGGCTTCAAGAACACCAGAAAGTTATAACGCGAGGGGAAGTGGAAAAATCAGGCGTGGCTGACCTCATATGGAGAGAGAAGGGAGATCACCACCCTCTGTGGGATCAGGTTGAGATCATAGACAAGGAACACCATAAATCTCCTGAACCGACCAAGCATAGAAATGAATAGAATATAGGAACCAGTAATAAGGAGTGCCATAGAAAAGCAATAATAACAACAAAAAAGTTGCAATATGAGCTCTTGTAAAAAC